GGAAGAGTGTCCTTCTTTCTGGTATCCAATCCTGTCGTAGTAGGTAGCGTCTTCGCGTATAAACGGCTTCTTCTTCTTCTTCTTCTTTTTGGAAGGATCAAATTTAGTAGTGACCTAAATAAATCAGGCAACATAAGCTTTAGCAAAGCGAAATTATACAAGGGATGGATTAGCAATCATCATCGAAAACCTTCTCGAGCTCCTGTTTCCAACAAGCCTGCTCATCCATCGTCGCCGCCGGGTGAGGTCCGATCCGACCGTCGCTCAAGCTTATTGAAACGTTTGTAGAATGGGCCCCTTTACAGAAACTTCTGATATGAGGCCCAATTGGCGTCCGAATAGTATTTAGACATTTGTTGACGGGTCTGTATTTTCAAAATATTTGTTGGGTTTGGAAGGGAATATGTATAGATTACTGTAAAGGGGTATAGATTACAGTGTCAGTTTTCCCGAAAAAAAGGGGTATAGATTACAGTGTTAAGTGGAAGACAAGTTAAAAAAGCTCAGAGTCAGCGAGGAGCGATGCTGGGAACAACGCCGCTGCTGAGATCGCTTCCTAAAAGGCTCGCCGACTCGTAAAGATCTCTCGTCACATTCGAAGATGATGTTGACAACACCGACGAGTTCGTTTCCACTTTTCCTTCCTTGTCGGGGAGTAGTGACTCCAGCTCTTTCACCACCTCAGCCATCGCAGGCCTCATATCAGGTGAGTCGTGGCTACACCTCAATGCCAAAGTAAAAAACCTTTCTGCGATTTCCGTCGACCACGGCTCCATTCTCTTGTCTATCAGCGACACCATCTCATCCGCACTCTTCACCTCTCTCACGATGTTTTTGCCATGGGATATGGCGTGCATACCAGTCAGCATCTCCAAGAACACAACCCCCATGCTGTACACGTCGCTCTTGTCCGTCAGCTTGTGCGTCAGAAAGTACTCTGGATCCAGGTACCCCTGCAACACTCACAAACTAAGCTTGTGTGCCAAAAGAATATATATATGTTATTACATCACTCACTGGAGTCCCGCGAACAACCGTAGACACGTGTTTAGGCACATCCTCTTCCTCCTCCAAAGCAGGAGCAAGACGGGACAGTCCGAAGTCTGCAACTTTGGCATTGAAGTTGAGGTCGAGGAGGATGTTACTGGCTTTGATGTCTCGATGGAACACTGGTGGGTTGGCTTCTGTGTGAAGGTAGAGAATACCCCTGGCTGCTCCTAATGCAACACGAACCCTCATCCCAAAGCTCAATGTCTCCTTCCCTTTAGCTGCACCACCACCACACCACACATATATTTGTATTCCATTAGATGAGAAAACTAATTGGGATGGGATCTTTGTGGTTTTAGTACCAGACAACCAGTCGCGCAGGGTGCCATTTGGCATAAATTCGTACACCAGCATCTGCACATTCAGTAACTTCATAAGCAATTAAACTGAGTAAATCCAGGCGGATTCACTGGAAGTGTACCTGCTCCCCTTCTTCGTCACAGTAACCAATTAGTGACACTAGATTCCGATGATGCAACCTCGTGAGCAACTCTATTTCATTCAAGAACTCCTTCTCACCTTGCAACGACCCTTCATCTGCTCGCTTTATGGCAGCAACCGTTTTGTCAGATAACACACCTCTATATACCTTTCCGTAGCCTCCCCGTCCAACCAAAGCCGAGCTGCTAAAATCGTCTGTGGCCTCTGCTAGTTCTTTGAACCTGAAGCCTCTTATCCCAGAGTTCACCAAGGAAGCTTTCGAGGCTGAAACACACACAACAGATTCAATTAAACTTTGTTTTTTATATCTCAGTCAGTGGGGAATGGCAGATTCGGTGACACTTACAAGACCGTCTTCTAGATATGACACCCTCGTGCTTGCTGTATCTTCTAAGCAACAAGGCCGCAACCATGGCGGAGATGGCAATAGCAGTAACCACAGCCCCTGCAGTTATTGCTGCCAAACGTCCCCAGCTAACGCCTTTCCTTTCAGTGCTGAAGTTAACTGGGGAGATAAAAGAAACCCTCCAGTTAGAAGTCAATCTAGATCTGCCTTGCGTTAAAAAGGAAAAAACACTCACCATATGAGTAAGGCCCCTGCAGAGTGAAGTTGAGCAGCTCATATGGGCCGAATAAGTCACTACCGGGAAATCTCCATGATGCGAATATGCCTCGGATTCTGACAACTTCACTCGTGTTAAATGTTCTTGTAAAGGTTTCATTAACTTTCGGAAAAAGTTTCAGATGCATCCGCAGACGAGGCCCTTTCTCCCATTGATATGAGTCGATCCAGAGTTGATATGACTCCATTTGAAGAAATCCGGTAACATACTCTCCAAATCGATCAATATATGGAGGGAAGTATGAGAAACTAGGACTCTTCAGACGGTATCCAATCCTGAGAGGCGCTGCACAAAAGCATGGTAACGGAGATTCTGGACTATATTCGTAGAAGTCAGGAGTGGGACAGGCCAGAGGGGGACAGTCGAGTGCAGGATTAGTTGAGTTGGTTGGTTGTGATGTCCACCCCTTTCCTATGGATTCGCAGAAGAGGCCTGCATTTGATATGCTTCCGTTCTTGCAAATCGGATTACCATCAAGCCTGGAGTGTCGAAACAACCTTTCAGCATGAGCATTCAAGATCAAAATTGCTAACCAAGATACATATACGACTACGGGGCACCTTAAAGTGACATTTTCTGGAGGAGTTAGATCTCCTTGAACCTGTGACAGAGTATTATTCCTGAGATCACTGTAGGAATTGAGAGAAAGCAAGAATATGAGACTAGTTGATGAACTGCAAGTTACTGTATATGAACGAAGGAACCAAGGATTTTACAGTAGAAGTCTAGCTTTTTTCAGAAATGAGATATTCTTCCAGAGGGAATCAGGGATAGATCCAGATAACATATTGTTCTTCAGTAATCTGCAGAAGATTGAGATTTTTTTTATTCTTATTATTTACTTATTGCTACTCACAAGCTCATTCTCTTGAATATAAAGAAACATAAACATAATTTCTCACAGCATCTGAAGCAAAGGCAGATCTGAGAAGCTTTGCGGAATGGATCCATTAAGTATGTTGTTTGAATAATCACTGCAATAGACCAGCGTGAAACCCAAAGCAATAAGGTATACGTGTAATACAAGCAAAGGCCACAGGATAAAAGAACGGAAACAGAACTAGCATCAGTATAAAGCATACATGGTTGTCACATCCTCAGAAAGATTAGAAGAAGGTATAGGTCCTGTGAGCTCATTCCAGCTAAGATCCCTGTAGCGAACAAGAAGCACAAACACATTCACAAAATGGGAATAGAGAATCCAAGCATTGAGATTGATCCCAACTTACAAGTATTTGAGACGACGTATCCTGCTAAAATCAGGAAGAGCACCTTTTAAACTACAATTTCTAAGACTCCTGCAAGTGGAAAAAAAAAGACAAAACAACAGAATAAATATCTCTATATGTATCTTTGATTCTTTGAAATAAATAAATGAGATAACAGTGGCCCGAATTTACAGCTTCAGTATACTCGAAAAGTTTCCATAGGAAGCTGGGATATCTGATCCGCTGAAGTTGTTATTATCTAATTGCCTGCAGTGAGAGGACAGTAACCATGAATCTAACAATTATTTGTAGGATGGGGTCAAAACATACAATAGAGAAACATACAGGATTTGCAGGTTTGGCAATTCAGAGAGTTGCGGTGGGAGATTTCCGGATAAATTGTTGTTGTCTAGCAGCCTTTAAATTTATTTTGACCACTTTAACCACCATGATTATCCCAAAATCATGGAAAAAGTGACAGAAAGACTTACACGTGAAAGATGTTTGTAAGACTGGAAAGCTCAACTGGAATCTGGCCGCTCAACGAATTATTGTTGAAGTGCCTGTACAAGATCAAAAGCAAATTTTGTGAGCTGACACTGAAATCTGCGTCTGAGGTTGATATAACTCTCTGGCTTGATGTTCGGACTCACAAATGTTTCACGTTTTTCAAGTTGGAAAAGGACTTTGGTATTGATCCTGTGATGTTATTCTCATCTATCTGAAACCTGTTTAAGTTCGAAAGATATCCTAGTTCGCTTGGTAAAGGCCCTGACAATTTGTTTCCATTCAGCAGCCTGGCCACAGGTTACAGAATCAGAAGAAGGTTAACAAAACGAAAACACATGGTTCTATCCAGAGAGATGATTAATTATCAGGTAGGTCGAACTTACAAGAGTACCAGGGATGATATCTGCCCTATCTCCTTTGGAATTGAACCACTAATATTGTTCCACATGAAATCTCTTCATATAGGCAACATCAAAAGATTAAACATTCAGTATAAATTGGTGTGATAAAAATATAAAAATAAAAATAGGGCTCACACTTTGGAACGCTTTACATCTTGAAACTTACAATATCTCGAGATGAACTAATTTCCGGAGCTCTGGTGATAAACTCCCGGACAGATTCATGTTCATCAGCAGGCTGATTGGCAACAAAAAAAAGAAGGAATCAATAGATGGTCATGTAGACAAATGTTCCCAGAGAAAGAAAAGAAAGAAAAGGGACAACTGAAGCAGCTTCTCGCAAGGTTAATTCCAACACATATACAAGCAGACCAGCGAAGAAAGGAAGAAGACGGCATAAGAAACAAAAAATGATCTGTGAGAAGGAAAAACATACAGTTCTCGGACATGCAGGTAGTTGTCGGTCCCAATTTCATTGAAGCAGATAACTCCTGTCCAATTTGACTTGCAAGGGTCTCCTCTGTTCCAGTTTCTCAAATAATCTTTAGGATCAATTAAACTTGTCTTAACTGATCGTAAAGCAGTGACTGCAAATGGAAAAGAGAGTTGAAAACTCAGGTAATAGAGAACTAAAATTGGTTGGAAAAGTTTGTAAAACTGCAGTCACCTTCTGAAGGGTCTGTTCGCTGTGCATCGGCAAGAAGAAGCACGCAGAAAAACGCAACAAGGAGCGCATAAAGATAGATCCTTTGAGGCAACACCATGATGTGATGCGTGTGGGAAGATAGCTGCATAAGAAGCAGATGATTATAGATATATAAAACTGTCCAACCAAAAATAAAAACAAACAAACAAACAAACGAGCGACTCACGGTTTGGGTATCCAGGAAGTGATGATGATCAAATAAAATATATAAAGTCCTGATAATCACAATCCAATTTATGACAGAAAAAGACAGCGCAGCTAAAATTCAACGCCACGGCATTCATGAGCTCAAAGAGGGATCATTACCTCAGTCTTTAGTTAGATCAGGTCATGTTGGAGAATTTTCCTCCTAAAAGGCAAATCCGTAGAGTGGGCGGGGGTGGTGGAATCTGCAGAAACCCTGAGACCGGAGAGAAGTCAATATATGCAGGCAACAATGCAGAACAAATCAAAGGGGACAATTAACAATCAATCATGGGAGAAATGAAATGAAATGATGGTTGCAAAGAAGATAAGAAGGACCATCGTGGGTTCTTGCTTTGATTTTTCTGCACAGCGATGGTTGGAGAAAGACGGCCATTAGAATAATATCTCTGGGAAAGCTTAAACCTTTTTTCACCCAAGTGGTAAAATTTCGTTACTGGGTTGACTCTACTCTTACCTGCTTCAGAAGCACAATCGTGACCAAAATAGAAAATAGAAAGAAACCCCATTCATTATCCATTCAGAGTAGAAAAGGAGTTGACTGTTAGGGTTGAGAAGAAAGCGGTTTCTTTCTACTGCTCAAGACTGTTGAGTGCTGCTCATGCTTATTGCAAAACGATGTAGGTAAATCTTTCAATAGCACACAAAGCACATACGTCATTTTGTGTTTCCCTTCGTATTAATGGTGTTGTCATTATTTTTCAATGATTGGTATCTTTCAGAATTACATTTTTTTCTTTATTAATCTGAACGAAAATTGTTTAATATGATTTGCCTAGGACATCGATTTTATTCTTCGTTATTAATCTGAACGAAAATTGTTTAATATGATTTGCCTAGGACATCGATTTTAGATTACACCAACCAAATTATATTAAAATAGCATACATAAGTAATGCAAACAAAATAGTTATATAAGAGGTCATATTATGGTTCACTGATGTTTTGTCCTTGTACAAACAAATGTTGAGTTTTCATGACTCTGATCCACCTTCAGCTTCCATTTTCAGTTTGTCGGCTCCACCACTGGTGGTATGCAATCCACTTTATACCGAAGACTCTATTCCACACAAAAAGAAAATAATAATAATAAAACAGATGGGAAAGAAAGTTAAAAACGATACTAATTCACTTTAACTGCCGCAAAATGTAACTATCATTCCACCTTTTTGAAGAAAGTTGAATACGAATTATCCCAAACAAGTTTGTAATTTCCAGCCATTAGCGTAGAGAAGTTTCCCTGCAGGAATCAAAACACTTGATCCTGAACGATAACACTAGACAACACAGCTATGCACATAAAACAACACCACCAAAAACTAAAGAGAACGCATAAGCTTTACCATATTAAAATTATGACATTAAATATTTGCACATGGCACTCACCTGGTCAGCTTCATACCGATTGTAAGGTAATATAAGCTGCAATTAAAAAAAAAAAATTGTAACCACCCCTCAGAATAAGGTAGTTAAATGAACCTCTTAAGGAGATAATGTATGTACTATACTCTACTAGAATTTTATAAGAGTTTGGAAACTAATGAGCGCACTCACAGTCTTTTCCCCTGAAGCACTTATGTACTCCACGCTAAATCCAATATCCTGGCAAAAAAAATTAGGAATTACAACAGATGACGAACCCCATAAGGTGAGAAACCTATAGTTTAGATCACATCCCGTATCAAGAAACAACAGTTCTTGTTTGCCTTTCACATTAAAGATTCATAACAGAGAAATATAGGCTTCCAACTAAGTGCTAAAATAAAGCTAACCAGATTCTAGCAAAACACAGCAGCATATACAATAATTATAACTGCAATATGGCATACAGAAACAATTTGTGATGCTCTCGACATGCAATCCAAAGAAAAAAAGCACAATTTTCATGAGTCTCTAAACAATCACTGTAGCTCCTAGGAGAAAACAAACTAGGCATCCCTATAATAATCAAACAAAATTCTGAAAAGGGGAGCAAAACTAAGCTTAAAAAAGCAATCAAATGATTTACGGTTATATAATGGGGAAAGGGGTTGAGGGTTCAAAATGCAATACCATGCTTATCTTGCCTTGCATCAAGGAAAAATCCCAAGCAATATATGAATTTTCGGATTCCACCATCAATGAGACCTAGAGAAACAACAACAAACATCAGAATCGAATGCAAGTGCTTATGCTTTGGGTTTCATATACAGTCAGAATTTGTGGATACCACACACTAATGTCATCAAAATCACTTTTCATTTTTTAAACACAAAACTCCAGACGGAACTAGTGTAAAGAGTCTACGAATGGCCAAACATTCAGTTTCATTAATAAACAAAAGCATCTGATACCTCATAGGTTCTCCCAGCTTGAACGATTATCTCTTTGTACTCCTCCTTTTCCCTAAGAAGTGCAAACTCTTAAAGTTAAATATGATGAACTATAGAGAGAATCTTGTGAATGATGGAAGCTAACCTTGAGCCCAATATCCCAGCCGTATCTGCTGAAATGAAGAAGGGCGAATTGGCAAATACATCGCTGGGAAGGCACAAAGTAAAACGTTAGATTTTTCAACATTGAGAAAGCAATGCCTATAAATGTTGGAACTGTACACATCATATTCTATTAGACTTATTCTAAAGCTTAAATGGAGTGTGTGCACATACCAGCAACAAGTTTAACACACCCAAATCAGATTAGGGGACTAGAAAAACTAATAAAAGAAACAAAGGAGAACAAGCCCTAAAACAAACATCAACGAAATTTTACTTGAGCAAGAAAGTTTCAAAAGTTAACTTCCCCCAACGTTTGTGTGATCCAGTACATCAGTACCATGACCCACGACTCTAGAGAGGAAGATGTTACCTGATAAATGTGACGAATCTTTCAAACTCAGATGTGTAGACGATAGCAGCTTCAGACAGGAGATTCCATTGGTCTTTATTCCTGCTCATCCCACATATAACAAAATCTCATAACCTCTAAACATGAAACTTCACTGGGATTTCATGAACACGTGAAGCTCGACGATTATTGACTTGTGTTAATTGAAGGAAATCTAAATATTTCAACAATAACAAGAAAAAAGGGGAAAATATTATCCAGCAATCTTACAGTTTGAAAGTATCATATCTTTCCCACAGAAGTGTTAGGAAAACCCGGATTGCCATCACCATTTTTGTGAGACTGTATAGAGGAGGTCCATAACGTTCTCGTTGTTCTTCCATTGGCCTTTGCACACAAAGATCAATTCTATCAGCTAAAGTTTCTTATGAAAACTGAAAAACAATCACTGACTTTTTGTTTCGTATGGTACATACCCATCATCATCATTTATTTGTCGAATAAAATCCAACAAGACCTACAATGAGTGGAGGTAAAAGAATCAACAATCTATATACATTCGGGTGTGCAGGAATAGAGAAGCCACACGCAATTTGAGGGGTATTGGGGGAGAAGCCTACCTGTGGAACCCCTACCAAGTACTTGACCAGGGTTTTATAGACACCGGTCGCAGAGCCTAGTTGAGCCAACTGTCTCCTCCTATATACAAGGTTCTCTCTGTCAGCTACCTTTGTCAAAGAAAGCATATATCAATTAGGAAATCAGAAACAGGGAAGCAGGCGGCTGACCGCTCCATCTGCTGCTTCCAAAGAAGAGCATATGTGTCTCGTATGCTCCCTCCAGAGCTAACCAGCGCATCAACCTCCGCCTGTTTGTTCCTCTCGGACCTCTCCTTTTGCTGTCTGATGAGAGTTCCGCGGAAATCTTGAGGCATGTAGGTCATAACTGTAGAAAGAAGGGGGGGGGGTCAACACAGGCTGTATGCATAAAACAAAGTCTGCGTAGAATTTAACCTGTGCTAAAGACACGGTCAGAGTTTTTCGTCTGGAAGGAAATCATAGCAGTCAGAGCGTTATCAAAATTGTTCTTGAGATGACTCGCAATGGAAGATAATTCAGAATCTTCGGATGTGCAAGGTTCCCGAAGCTGAATCCAAAACAAGTTGTCACCAGAAAGAAAAGAAAGAAATAAGAAGAAAAAGAAGCCAAGATGATTCACCTGAATAGGCCAACGAGATGGTTGCAGAAGAAACAGTATCTCCTCCATCTGCTCCCGGTTTTTCCACATATTCTCATCAATTTTGTGAGGAGGCTGCCGGTTCGCTTCGTCGATCAGGGAAGCTTCACCTTTAAAATAAAATAAAAATAAAAAATAAAAGTCGTTAGGAAATTCCAAAAGCAGGATTAGTGAGTGATACAGTGGGATCGGAAAACCTTGAGATGGTGGAGATTGGAGGGTTAGTTGCTGAATCAGAGAAGCTATCTCAGAGGAAAGCCGAGAAACGTCGTCGGAAAGAGGAGGGAAAGGATATTTGTCGTAGTAGGAAGCCAGAAATGCCCGGGTGATCGGCACAAGTCCTTCAGTCGATGCCATGTTGACGATCCTTTCGCGATCTACTCACTCACACTCCCTGCCGCCACCAACCCAATGTCTCTCTCTCTCTCTCTCGCCCAAGGTCTCCAAGTCTATGGAATGAGGATGAAAGAAGGGATATTCGTCTGCTAGAACCGGCATCTCTCCCCACCTAAAAGGCTTTTCAAAGCCCATCTCCACATCCTTTCCACTGGGCCTTAAGTAATAACTTTGGAAAGGATTGTGTGGGTTCTTTTTCGAAATTCGGTTCATCTAACTTAACCTTTCAAAATTAGATGAACCGAATATGCGGGAGACGACCATGTGATATGCATGTGATTCCTGAAAGGAGACGACCAATAATTGATGGGGTCAGCTTAGCTATTATGAGAGTGTCCACAAGTACTACTGTATATTATCAAAGACTCCAATTTTGTTTTATCACTAGCTAATCTCCGAATCCCACCCACAGCTTTGGTTTGATCCGACGAAGATAATATATGTCTATATCCTGGCAAAACCTATATATATATATATATCATTGCCATTATATGTGCTCACATGCACATATATGCTCCCCTAATACATGTATGGTGTGAGGTACGTATGAGCTGCTAGCTAGGCTGTATCGAGGTGAATCTATTCAATTATTGTTTAACCAAACAATCAACGATGACAATTAGGAGCAAGAGATCACGTCTTATATATATATATATATATATATATATATATGTCTAGTAGATAGGGGGTTTTGAGAAGTCATCTTATAACTAATAAGATGGACCATGGAGAAAATGAGGTGGGACTGATGAATGAAACCTTAGATGGTGAATCTTTCATTGAAATACAAATCAACAAACCAGCAACCGGAATGAGCATACCTTCTCCTTCTCCATCTCCCAGTAATGAAATGCAGACAGCAACGATCTTCTCATCGGCCTCTAGCTGCTTCTCTACATACAGCAGCATGACGAAGTTGATGATGAAACTGGGGTGTTCGAGTATTGTGGAAGTTATAAGGGAGAAAGTCAACGTGGGAGAAAAATGGGTCCTCAAATTTATTCACGGACGACGAAGCAAGAGCTCCCTTCATTATTACAGCGAAGGCAGCATCAATTACAGCGAGGAAACATTAACAGAAGACTCCCTCAAGGCAGCCATCGCTTACTGCAATGCATCCTCGCTCTCCCGTCCACAAACTTAATTAACACTCTTTCTATAGTTATTGTTGTTGACTAGAGGCAGGATTACCAGTGTCGGTAATCACATAAGAAACAAATATTTGGGTCTTGGGTCCAATCTAATGGTACCATGCATGTATCAGCTTGTTTAATATTTTATCACTTTAAGAATATACTCTCGAGAGAGAAGGTTTGGTTCAATCTTCATCCATATATATATAGCTAGACCTATATATAGCCAATGTGACAGGCTACGTTCTTCACAGCTCTCAAGTCTCTCTTCACGAGTACGCTAGTTTATTTATCGTAGACGTTTCACATTGTAATTATTACCACAGAAATACTAGACGGAAAATCTCAACATTATTAAAATCTTAGAAATAATACCGCAACAATCAATCACCGATATATACTTATTTTCAAATTATGTTTTTAGTGAAAACATACATTTAACCAGTTTGGACTTTGAGTGACAGAACAACCAATATTCATACAAACTGCTATGTATACACTATAACTCTGCAGCTGCAGTTTGATTATTGATATGGAGCTTTTGAAGTTCTTGTTCTTAATATAAATAATTACAGCACTGCTATAACCTCGAATATCTTGAATCCTTATTCAGTCCTACTCCTATCCGCAAATTATAAAACTCTAAGTATGAGTTCTATAATCAATACTTATTTTTCAAAACTCTAAGTGTACTACAAACCTCCAAAAGGAACACACACCTCCAAACAGAGGATTAAAAGATTGATACATAGAACCAAAAAACATAAAAGAACACAACAGAAAGAGAAGACACCAGTAGGTGCCATTACATGCATCAAGTTCTCATCGATTAGTGAAGCACTAGGTCACAGAGCTTTAGAAGCTGCAGGAGAGGTAGCAACATGTAAGCTGGGACAATAAACCATATGCGTTTGACCTCTATGAAGATGTACGATCACAATATATAGAGTCAATCTGGTTAGCTTATTCTGATTTATCTTTTATACAAGTTATTGTAAGTAACTTTTTACCATTTGAGTAAATTCATAAACAAAAAAAGAGACAAGATTAGCCTTTGGTCTCCAGATCTCATATGTGCCTGAGCTAACCCAGGTTGATTTTGTTTCTTTCTTTCGTGTGTAAATGTGAGTTTTCCTGAGATCAGTGACATGTTCACATTTCTTCGTATTATAGGTTTAACATGATTTTGCAGCAAAGAGATGTTACCCGGTGGCTTGTCAGTTAATAGAAAGAGGTCTTTCTCAACTCAAGTTTCGTCTTTTTAGTCCATCAGCCTGAACTTTGTGATGCATTTTGAGAGATCCAATCATCGATCCCTTATCATTGGACATGCTTTTGTTGCATTTAGAGGTTATGGATCAACTGGAAATAATATCAGTTCGAGTACCCGGAGGAAGGCAGAGCCAAAGAAAGCCAAGAAACAAAAACAACTTACACAAGAACAAGAAGCAGCTTGAATCTGCACTAGTCATACATGTAATCAACTTTGTTCGTAACTTTTAATACCCTTGTTCAATTGTTTGTAATCAACTTTGTTTGTGTCTTATTGATGTCGATTTAAAGAAGTAATAAAGGACACCGTTTTACATAAAATGATCAGCCTGAGACGTTTTTCAAAGCAACAGCTAATTTGTTGCAATTAAAAGGGATGTAAAAATATAACTGAAAATCGGATCTTTGAAGATCTTCTCTATAACTTCTCTTCCCTCTCTTTCAAAATTTGAATCTTTCTTATTTCTGATCGTTGAGAAACCGCAGAGATAGAAAATAAATAGTACTACGACAAGAAAAGAGGAGAGAGAAAGAAAACATCGAAGTTCATTGATTGAGAGAGGAACCCGTTTCTTGCAAAGCAAGAATTGGTTGAGTCAATACATCTTCTTCTTCTTTCTCATGATTATTGAGGTTTCTTTACTCTCAGCGATTGTTCAACTCTATTTCGTCTCTCTCTCACAATTCTTGTATGGCTTTTACAAAAAGTAATCTCCTTTACTTAATTCAATTCTCTTTTTACTCTGTTCGGTTATTCAGTTTTCCCACACGGTTCTTGTTTCTGGGTTTCTAACAAAGTTTTACTCTCTTAATCAGCAAAGAAAGATGAATCATCTGATGGAAAATTCGTTCCTAAGTTATGTCGAACTCAAGAAGGAAGCCAAGAACGACACAGAGTCTGAGAATGACGTCGACAAAGGCGATCTGCATCAAAAAACCCTCTTTGGTTTCTTCGCGGAGATTGAAGCCATCATCTCATACACATCTCCACAACCTAACGAACACCGCCAAGATCCTCCGCGGCTTGAGAGACATGATGAGTCCAACATCGTCTCCATCTCGAGCAAGGCCAACGCTGTCAAAACCCTAATTGACGCCATCGAGACAGGACACGTGTTTCGATCACAAATACCCAGAACAAGTCAGAGGTATAATTGGAAGAACAGTCTCCAATCTTCATGAATATTGTTCTTTTACGTCTTCTTAAATCGATTTCATGTATTGATTCCAATTCCAAATTCAAACTTTAATTCTTTTTTTTTGTTTAGAGTTTCTGTAATCCCCTAAACCCAAATTGAACTTCAATATAAAGATCCTTACTTTATTTTTTTTTGCTCTGTTTCAGGTTCAGTAATCAAAAACACCATCGTGGTTACCAGCTCCCAAACACAGGTGAATAAATTTTTAAAATATTTAATTTTATTTGAACTTGCTTATAAGTTTCTATGAACTTGGCCCAATTACAAAATATTTAGGTATATTACTTGGGCTTATTTATGCTTATAAGTTTCTACGAATTTGGCCCAATTACGAAATATTTAGGTATATTACTTGGGCTTATTTATACTTATAAGTTTCGATGAGCTCGGCCCAATTACGAAATATTTAGGTATATTACTTGGGCTTATTTATACAAGTTAGTATTATAGAGAATTTAAAATCACTCCGAGAAAGTCATGTGCATACGTTTTTGAAATGTTTAGATTTATTACCTGGGGATTGCTTATACAAATAAATTAATATATTAACTAGAATTGATATACATTTGAGTTTATAAGTAAATGTATATAATTATAAACTAACACTGTTTAGATTTTGAATTAGTTAAGCCTTTGCTCTATAACATTTTGACTTATTAGTCAGGCCTGCTTATAAACTTAAGCGGTTCCATACACAGCCATTATAGCCTGAGTGAATTTGAAGGAATTGGGCTGAGTCTATTTTATTTGTATGAATATTATAATTTGTTTTAGGTGATAATAGGAGTAATAAGTTATTTTGTTAAATTTAATAATTGTTAGGGTTATAGTGAGAAAATACTTGAATTCTATTTTGTATAATGAAAGGACCAACTATTAAGCTGAGTTGAGACACATAGGGTTTAGGGTTTAGGGTTTAGGGTTTAGGGTTTAGGGTTTAGGGTTTAGGGTTTAGGGTTTAGGGTTTAGGGTTTAGGGTTTAGGGTTTAGGGTTTAGGGTTTAGGGTTTAGGGTTTAGGGTTTAGGGTTTAGGGTTTAGGGTTT